AAAAAAAAAAAAACAAAAAAAACAAAAGACAAAATCTCCTAAAGGTAAAATAAATCTCACCAAATTAGCAAACGGACGTCCTCCACCATTGTCGTCTCCTATTCATCCCCTCCGCTGTTGGATCTGCTGTTTCCACGAAACTCCGAACGAAAAAAATCTCAAGATTTGGACCTGAATTGAAGCAGAAACCAGGGGCTTTCATCTCCGACGAAGCCAAATTCTGCCATAACGAAATCGAATATCTCGACACTGGTCATGAGGGACATGTCGAACGGGCGAATTTCTTTCGGCCTGTAGCTAAACATAAACAGCGAGCAAGACCCTAGCCTGACTTCGAAGTAGATGGAGAGCTCGTTGGGATCGTCACCGGCTATCTCGGTGAAAAAGAAGGAGAATTATTGATGAATTGGGGTTTCAGATTCTTTCAAGATGTGGGATTTTCTCTCAAACGAATCGAAAGCGAAAGAGTCGTAAGAAGGAGAAGGGTCATTTTGAACGAATTGGGTATGAGATTTTTTTCTCGAGCTAATAAGCAAAATTTAATGGAGTGAATGGAGGACTATACGGGATTTTATGGAGTCAAACATGTAGATATTTTTGGTAACTTGTATTTTGAATGAATAAATCCCTACATATAAGGATTTTGTTTCTTCAAACATGAGAAGTGCAAGTAATTTCTTGTTGAATCTCCGTACAAATCTATTGATCATAAATAATTACATATTTTGAAAATGAATTTGTCAAACACGTGAGCATTCAAAATTTAAAATTCCAATTGGATTTTCATTTAGGGTAAGTCAAAAAGTCAACACAATTATTTAAAGTTTTTATTTCGGATTTTTCCATCAACCCTTTTTTATATATATAGATTTCACGGATTTTAATTTGACAATATTACTATTGAAAAGCTTTTATAGTTTATATGAAGCTATGTATCCTAATCTTTTATTCGATATGTTATATACATAATAACTCTAACATTATACAATTTAGTATCTTTTATATGCATTATATAACTTATTAAAAAAATAAGAAAAGTGATCCTTTTTATCTATTATTGTTAAGAATTTAAATATGTAAGGATTGTATGTCATAAATACAGTTGTAAGAAGAAAAAGTTTGACTATAAAGAAACTTGTAAATACAATAGGTGTCAAACAGCCAACAGTGTAAACTAATATCATTGACCTTTTAAAGTTTACGAGGCCTTCTTATATATTTTCAGTTCCCAAGATGCTAACACACATTGCTGCTCGTTTAAAAAAAAATAAATAAATAAAATCAATCAAATGGTAGATACGTGTTTGTCTTATTTTTGTTATGTTTTTAGTTATTATTTTATTATTCTTTTACCAGCATTTTGAGTCATTTTATAGATTTTAGGGTAGTTTTATTATTTATTGTGTGATTTGTAATATTTAAAATAATGTTTATGTTTCTGTATATTTTTCTGGTATTTTTCGCTTTATATTCAATAAAGATGTATAGGTCGAAAACCTCGGAAGAACAGGATTTTGGAAATTTCTTGGGCATGATCATATCATTGGAAAGAGGGATTCGTTAGCGACGCACATGAAAAAACGAAAATCAATTCCGAGTTAAAACGAGCAAGAACGAGAAAAAACGGCAAAAACGTGCAAAACCGACACCTTAGCGCCGGTAACCCCTTAACGCGCGCTACACTTTCCGCGGACCGACACCTTAGCGGCGCTAAGGGATGGATTTCTGCAGCTGTTTGTTATTTTAAAATGAAAGATGATGGAGTGTAATTGTGATGATGAATAAGCCTTACCCATAGCTAATTTCTAGCTATATTTTACTCTAAATCTTCAGCTATAATAGAGGTGATCAATGCATGTAAATGTAACAAGTTCATAATTCAATAAGAGTTAAAAATCTTGTAAAAAATCCTCTCTTCTTCTCTTGGAAAGTTCTTCATCATTTATGAGAATTTCTTCTCATGAATTTGCATGATCTTGTAAGTGATATTTCTATATCTTGTTGACGTTCTAGTAATATATTGACGTCAAGTTTTCAATAATAATCGTAAGTCATCGTTACTTTATTGTAAGTACGATGATAGCTTGGGTTATTATTGTTATTTGTGTCGACAAAATCATGACGAACTAAACCTATCCGTTAGGGATAAAGAAATGATTGTTTCGGTTCGATGATGATGACATATTGTTGATTGTTCATATCGTTTCGAGTTGTGCTTATTTTTTATGGTTTAGTTGATTAAATACCTTCTAAATCTACTTAATTAATTTTAAAATCGAGAGGGGCGAAGTTAATTGATCTCGGCTCGAAACGAGTAAGTTTGTTCGTAACTGTATTGCTTATGTATTATTTGATACGAAAATATATTAATTTATGTTTATATTCTTGTTACGAAAAGTTATAGAATATAAACCTCTAAATTAGTGTGTTTATCGAATCACTTAATCGAACAATAAATAATTTGGCATTATCATTAGAATTGAAAACAATTATTTCCCAATTCCCTAACACTTTTATCATTTTTATATTCCTATTATCTTTAAGATTTTTTATAATTATTGAATTTATTTACCACTTTAATTATAATTTTATGTTTATTAGTTAAATTAATAAAATTAATAGATAGTAAAACTCCACCTGAAAATGATCAGAATGTTTAGAAAATCGTTTTGTTTATTTTTAGTAAGCGAATAAGTACACAGTTTATTCCGGCTAAATCTTCCTTGAGATCGAGTCGGAAAACGAATTTTCAATTCGGTGCTCCATAAAAACATATAAATGAAATTTACTACAACAATATGCATATGCATTGAAGAAATGGGAACTAACTGTGGAGACATATCAATTCCATGAGTTTTAGAAAGATTTATTTTTATAAAAATTAGAGAATATTTAATAAGAGTGTTTTATAGTCGTATTCATCAGTTAATTTAATTGAGAAAGTCAAAGTTATTTTGCGCCGAAAATCAAAGTGCATAGATAAATCAGTTTTGCTATGAAACTAACAATTGGCTCCATAGTGGAATCAACATTTATAAAAAAACACATAAATCATACAAAATTTTCTGATTACTTAAATAAATATTATAATTTTATTAATATGGTATGATTTACTTGTTTTATATAGAGTCAACTATTGACTTCATAACAAAACTGATGGATATATTGATAGGTTCATATCATGCCATAAGAAGAAAGAAGAGCTAGCAATCATCATTTCATGTTGTAATATCATATGAGTAAAAATTTGAATATGGTTCAAATGTTACTATAGTGATCAGTCGTAGAAATAAGTAACTTAAGTATGTGTCGATTGTTGTAATATAGATTGACAATATGTAAAATCTATGTGTAAAATAGATTAAGATAGAAACAGTAGAAGAAGAGAATAAGAGAGAAGAGATCCGCCGTCAACACCATCATCT